TTTGAATCCCAGCACAGAGGTTTTGAGAAGTTGGAGTTGATTCCATCTCATCTGAAGAAAGAAATGGGTTCATTTTTAGTAAGCTGAAAACCAACAAAACTGCTGTCTTGATGTTTATCAAATACTCTGACGTGCCCACCTGTGTGCTCATCTGCCGACCTCTCCCCCTCTGCCTGAAATCTTGGAGATTTTCTATTAATAAATATATAATAGAATACACAGATTAACAAATAAGACATCTAGTAAATACAGCATAACAGATGATTAAACAAATATAAAAGGACCAGAAATTAAACCATGACAATCCCACCTTAAATGCCTCCCACTTTTCTCATCTTTTGGAGGAGATTTGCTTGTTTGTCCATTCATATCAGCAAAGGTGATATGTCTTCCTCTCTGAGCTCTGCTCCTCATGCTGTTTTCCTCCTTTACAGTCAAAAATCCCTAAAAATTGATCATATGCATACATCATAGCAGTGTCTGCCATGCTATGCTCTATATAAAACTATTTTCTTCGGACCTCACATTATATGAGATGATTATTTGTAATTTTCAAAAGTGTCACACCACATAACTATTTGCAGGTGATTAAAACGGTGAAAGTGTATATATTATGCATTGTGTAACAGTGAGCCATAACTTACTTGGTCAACAAAAAGGAATTCTTATTTTTGACTTGCCAACTAACTTATCCATCTACTGAAATGCACATCGCATTATTGAACCATAAAATCATCCCGCTGAGATACTCTATGTAAATTATTACCCATGTATGTATATCCGAAGTAACACTGCACATCAACTTAATTTTGTTTTGTAACAGTTAACGCGCGCTCATGCAGTTCACTCAAGCATCTCGCGCTCTTTTAACCGCCAACTTTGTTTTGTTAAAGCGAATGTTTTACTGTAACGTTAGGTAAACAAAAAAATTACTAACATATTAGTACTTGTAAAGAAGCGTTATTAACTCACATTAGCAGGGCTATCCTCGGCGCTTGTTAAACTGTCATCGTGGGCCTTTTTCAGTCGCGCGGACTTTCGCTGAGGCGGGTTCAGAGAGAGAAACTCCGAGCTGGAGTCCATATCACCGTTACTGCGTAACATCACCATCTTTAACGAAGCTTATAAGACCCTCAGACCATTCGCTGTCAAACTCACTTCAAAAAGTTTTTGCCAAGATTTTAATATGCCAAATACTTTGAACGATAACGCATCGTTTCGAAAACGCACTCCGCTCCTCCTTGACTTCTGGCGCCACAAACGACGTCACTTTCAAATGACACAAGGCATAATACGAATGTCCTGGCGAGACAGAAACTAGAGCCGTTTAAGCGAATGGCCGCCCTAACAAATGTATTTTTTCAAATATAAATAAGTTATTCAAATAAATGTGATTAAACTATAGAACAGACGTTGCTGGACCTTTCACTGACAAAAACATTGAGGCTTTAATATCCATACAAGATTTTGCGTAGGAATACTGGTGGAAAGGAGTACCGGCTCATTTTTGGCGCGCCGTGAGTGACGCGACGCACAAGATTCTGATTGGCTGACGCAGGCCAAACCCCCTCATGAGTCATGAGCTTGTTTTGGGACTCAAAACACCGAAATGAGATATTGAATGTCATATATATTTTCTAACTAGTCTTTTCAGATTAAAGTTATGATATAAAACCAGTATGCTAAGTATCCTCTGTTACATATAGTTCTCTTTTATGCAGTTTGCTCAAAGCTTAAACACTGCACAACAGCACAAATGGAAACAGTCAACAGGCTTTCTAAAGACTTGTTTATTTTTTCCTTCAGTAAGAAAGAACAGCAAAATATAAACAATACAACTTTCACTTATTTCCATGCCTTTACATTGCTCAAACTCATGAAGTACTAATGTAGTTGTACTAATGAAGATAAGACAATCAGTGCTCAATCTACAACTCGGAAAGATGATTTTAAGCAATGGCGGCTAGATAGTCTTTCACCTCCGCTGGGGTCAGTCGCCTAAATCCTGCTTCATTGCAGATTCCCACCTCAATGTTGTCCTCAGTCATTTGACCTTCAAAGCTTTCCTGTAACAAAAGTAGTCATAGTTAACACTGATGTTTGACATTTTAATCTCATGCAAACAGGGTCTAAAATAAACATTCAGCAAGTCAATTTGAGGCTTTGGCAAGTAAATAAAACACCACGCTTTGTGACAGTTACAGTTTCAGTGAGATATTGACTCTAGCTTGTTTGTCACAAATGCACAATGAAAAGCAGCTAGATAAAGAGATTTAATTGCTATAGGGAAATGATTTTTAATAATGCAACAGACAGTTTCAGAGCTAAAAAATATTTTAGCTTAGGACAAAAATTAATCTTGGATCTTGTATGCAAATAATAATGGTATCTAATACATAATTGCAATTAAAAGACCTTTAGCAAATGTGGCTGGGTTGTAAATCATTACCTTAAGAGTCAGAATAGCAGTGTGAATCGCATCTTCCAGTTCCAGATCCTCGTTGTATCTAAAACAGGAAAATGAAACAAATGAGATGTTGTATGTTTAGGAAGACTAAAAGGGTCTTATGCTTTCAGTTATTACATTTTATACCTTTTTTCAAGGAATGTTTTCCCATTCACATAGTTCTTCCCCATCGCTGTGGCTTTCCATGCAAAGTATGCTCCCTTAAACAGATAAAAGTCCATCTTATTTTTCTAATATAGTGCATTATAAAGAGCTTAAATTTTAAGAGACAATTGTTTTTCAGTTCAAATTGACAGATTACACTAATAAAATAATACCAAAGTGAATAGCATACCGAGGGGTCAGACTGGAAAAGGTACGGACGGTCTTCATCCCAGCCAGCAATCAGGAGTGACACGCCAAATGGCCGAACACCTCTGTGTCAAAATAATAACACAAACACACAAAATCTGCAAGTTATGCCATTGTCACTCTGGTAGATGCATACTCTTTTTAATTTTGCAAAACAGCAGTTTGTAGGGCAACTTCCAGAACAATTGTAACAGTGGTAAATTGTGCAATGGAGACATCACACATACCCTGATTGTGTGTACTCCTGCATAACAGAAGCCACCCTCTGAACAAGCTGGCCTGTAGGAATCGGCTCCTGATAGACCAGGTAGTACTGCTGAGCCAGCTTTCGTGCCCTTCGCACCAGAACCCTGCAGACATGATTAAAAGACGTTACAACAAAACTTTTATTGAGCATCTTTGCCATATAATCCTATCTTTCTATTATAAGCACGACAATATGAAAAATCAGACATTTGAATAGTTGTTTTTTTTTTCAATGAAAATGGCCTCAGGTCATCCAATATGCAGATCAGTTTGTTTCTTCATTGGAATGGATTTGGAGAAATTCATAAAGAAGTTCTGATGAAGAAACAAACTCATTTACATCTTGAATGACCTCAGGGTGCGTACATTTTCATTTTTGGGTTCCATTAAATATTTAAAAACATTAAAACTATAGTTCTGAATGTCAACTACACTTTTTTTTTTTTTTTTTACAAGACAGCCTTGCACATGTTCTTTTTATTAGGAATCATTATTATATAGCGTTTATTCATGTAGGCTCCAAATCCGTACCTGTAGTCTGGACCCATGCCACTGTAGACCATACCGATGTGTTTGGTTATGGGCTCTATTTTGTGAACACTTTGCTCATCATACAGTATAGATTTCTGCTTCTTTTCCGTAGCCAGAACAACACCATTCGAAGCTGTGAAAAAGAAATAAGGATAAGTTAAAGTGACTTGCTATATAGACACAGTTCACAAAGCTCATAATAAGCACATGCTAAAACCATAAAGTTTTATAAATAATGCAAAGTTAAGACACACATGATAAAATAACATTACTAACCTTTTATTCCAACCGAAGGAGCACCAGCTGCTACAGCTGCCAGAGCATACTCAATCTGGACCAACTTCCCTGAAGGGCTGAAAACACAAAAATAAGGAAAAAGGTGTTGTGATTGTAAGGTGAAGCACATTTAGACTAGGGTTAACTTTATTTTATTACTTACATTTTTTTAACTTTATTTTACTTTAAATCACAATAAAATGTGCTGTGTTAAAACATATATAAAAAGCTTTGTGTTGCATTGTTACTTTACCCATTTACAGATTCAAAATATACAAATGAGGTACACTCTTATTAAATTTGCAAATGTGCATATTATATAAAAATGCTACAGTCCTCATAAAAATGTAATACTTTTACATTGTCACAAAAATGTTCTGTTTTAGTTACACTTTATTACAACAACTAAAAACAGTACTGATAATCATATAGATAAACTATATGCTCATTCAAGTACATTCATGCACAATCAGCTTCCCATGATACACTGAAAGTGAAAGTAAAATCATCAAGTTTCAATCACAAAGACAAAACTAGGCAAGTCTGTCCTTTAAACACCCACGAGAGGGTATAATTTGTTGCTCTGGGATTCATAATGTGTTTAGTTCATTCTGTTCATGAATGTTGATGCACATGAATGTAAGAAGCACTGCATCACAAACACAGTGACTCTGCATCAGCGCCCGGATAATGATTTAACGCCTCTGACTGACGGAACGCTCTCCACAAACCTCGAGCGTCGCGATTCGCCAAAACACACACTCGTTTGAGCTTGGTGAACACATTAGATATAACAAAATTATAACGTTTATTACCTGAAAGTGGTGAGAGAGAAACTGTACCCTCTTTCTGCCATGGCTGTGTCTGACTGTTGGGGGAAGTGACGTCACGCACCTAATTGATCTGATTGGTTGAAAGAGTTACTTGGGTAGCTGAATGGTTTGTGGTTATTGCAGCCTAAAGATAAGTTTGAAATAACTTTGCATGTCACGTTTTATTTTACCCCCACTAATTAAAACAATGTAATAATATAAAACATTTGTTGGTTTAATCTTTAATATTTTGAACATATATTGCCCTCACCCGCTCAGGATGAAGCAGAATTTCTTTTATAACGCTGTACTACAAATCCCAGAATGCACGGGTGCAGAAGCACGCGCAGGCGCAGTTGGTCTTTTTGAGCGGTGACCGTGAGGATGTTAGGTCTGTAACGTTACATGTTAAATTAAACGGACATAAAACACCGCACATAATGTCATTATCGGGTTTACTTCAGTTTCTCGGACGTTCTCTGCAGCGTCTGGAGCTGCGTTTTGCGCAGGCGGCGGGATTTGACAGCTTCGGTGAGTGCATTTACTGTAATGTCATGTGTTACTCCACCACTCATATCACTATACATACACTTCAGTCACACTTAAGCTTAATTTAATATAATTTTACACTTTTTCCCTCTGATTGGCCATTCCTTTGTGATATTAAATCCAAAGTTTGTTTTGGAAGTCATTATTTCTGGTGAGTCAAGGGCTCAACGAGCCGCATGGTAATCTTGTTTTTTTTAGGGGAAGTAATAGAACAAAAAGTCTCTTTAATCGGAATGAAATGTTGCTGTGTTAAAATATACATATTTTTGTCTTGATATGTCATATTTACTTAATTTATATCGCTAAATAGGCATAATATATTGTTAAAAATATGTGGAATGTGCATTAATTTTAATGCAGAATGCTTTGAATGATAATTCTCATCTTTTGTTTTAATGTTGCTTAATTTAAAAAGTATTTTATATATTTTTTATAATTATTAAAAAAATATGCATATTTTAATATTTACATCACCTTGAAGTCGAATATATGCCCTTTATCTACTGTGTTTTTAAAAATAATTTGAGTAACTCAGTTTGAAAATTATTTGATTAATAAACCTTTTCTTCAGGTCCAGCACTGGCAGTAAGTGGTCCCCAGATTCTTCCTCAATCCCATCACAGCAACAATGAAGAAAACTCTGAGCCCAGTTTCTTGGACAGTATCTTTTGGATGGCAGCTCCTAAAAAGAGAAGAACCATTGAAGTCAATCGTTGCAGAAGACGACACCCAAATAAACTGATAAAAGTCAAGGTAAGAACTCACTGGTTCACTGCTATAGCATTATACAAATTAAAATAACTTTCAATGCAGTACTGTGCTGTAGTAAACAGCAATTTATCCTTTTTGTCCCTTCTCTTTTCCAGCACAACATTGAGCCGTGTCCAGAGTGTGACAACATGAAACTAAAGCATACTCTGTGTGGATTCTGCTTTGAAAAGGTCAGGAAGGAGACGGCAATGATACGAAAGCAAATCTCCATCATGGAAGGCGGACCTCTCAATGCTCCTGCTGTAGAGTCTGTTGTTTTGTATGAAAATGAAAATCCCTCTGAAGCAGATAAGGACAAGAGAATAATAGAACGCAACAGGAAACGCCCTTATTGGTTTAACATGTAACTGCTGTAAAATAAAGACTTTTTTGTGAAATAAAGATCAGAGTTTCATATTCATTAACTATTTTGTGATTATGCTTCAGTTAGCATTTTAATAGATCAGTTATAATTTTTTTATACCCTTGTTTTGGTGGTTTATAACAGTCCTTGGCTCGGTTCTTGTAATGTTGTAGTTGAAAGATGAGTGATAGAGATGGCTAGATAGAGAGGCTATTGTCCACAATACTATATAAAATGATATAAGATAAATTAATTGATTTAAAAATTAAGAAATATGCAATGTGATACTGTACCATATAGTGAATAATAAGAGTTAACATGGCTAATTAGAAGATCAATACTACCTTAAGTCATTATCATACACCTATTGTGGAGGGTTTCATGGTTAAAGCCAGAAAAGGGTTGAAATGAAAGTTCAAAATAATAAAACAAAAAATAGGGTGAACGGGACCCCAATGTGAAGCAGATGATCAGTGGGTATCAAAGTCACATGACAGTGTAAACCATGTTACCTTTATCCTGTTTAATATCAAAACAACATTCTTATTTTAACTGATGATCATTTATGCACATAGGACACCATTGTAGAAATCCATATGAAAACATATTACCATGGTATATGTCAAAAACATGGTATTACTATAGTGCATATTCAAAAATAGTCATTTTTAAAAAATAATCAAAGAACTTTATTACGCATAACTAAGAGATCTCACTGTAATTCAAAGGAACTCCGACCTCTTCTGCCCATCAGTCTGCGCAACTCCTGCGCATTTGCTAGAATGTAGAATCTAAAATGAGCCGCTCTCAGGACTATACCAATGTGTCACTATAGTTTAGGGGTGTTCAAAACTCAAAACAATTGCATTTCTATAGTTTGTGTAAATAAAGATTTATTTATATGACCATTTAATAATAAGTACATTAAAGACCAATTCATTTAAAAACTACTTCTTATTGTATACGATGTATTTATTATGTATATTCTAATAATAAACGTAAACGCTCCCCTATAAAATGATAAATGGACTGTTGGGTGTTTTTAATGGAATTGCATAATCGTCCAAGGCAAGCTGTCCGGAAGGAACTCATGCAGAAGACTTTAGATTGTTCAAGGTATGCTAAGAAACAAAACAGTCAAATGATAACAAATCTATATAATCTATAAGTTGTTAAATAAGTGTGTTTCAGTTTAAATGCACCTTCTGGAGAAATACATTCATCATCTTTTGCAGGGTTGCAGCTTTAGCAGTGTTGTGTTGCAGGTCGCTGATGTCATGACATTTAGATGGATGGATGGATGGATGGATAGATAGATGGATAGGTAGATGGATAGGTAGTAGGGGTGTAACTGTACACAAACATGATTCATGTTGAAACATGGTTTCGGTACAGCAGAGGGAAAAACTAAACATAAAATTGCTTTTTTTAAATTAAACAGTGGTTAATGAACAAATTGCTCTTTCTTTAATTAAATTCAATTATAATTACAATTTTCCAAACTTAAATTTCATTACTATTTATTTTTAAATATAATAATCAGCACTCAACTTTAAAAAAAAATTGTATGCAAACATGTAAATTGCACATAATGCAGTTTTTAAATTAACTTATAAATGATAAAATTTCTATTTGTTGTTAAAATATATTCATTTACACAGTGGCTGTCATAACTTGTTTCATAACAGATTTATTTAAACATACATTAAATAATTAAGACATCACTAACAGGTAAAGTAAAATATAATGAGTATATAGTCTAATATTTTGCTCTTCTCTAGACTTCATTTCTCTAGCAAACTAACAAGCTGTGGACACTGAGGACTTTATGTGTGCAGTGACACACTGTGACAAAACAGCACCTTACTGAACTTGAAAAGAGATCTTCATCCTCAGCCCATTAAGTAAATTCGTTCACTGTTTTATCAGGGTTTCTCCATGAACAACCTGAACAATCCTCCTAGATGGAATATTAGACCAGAGCCCGCTGGAGGAGATGACAGGGGCAGATGGAATTATGCCCTGCTGGTGCCCATGATCGGGCTGGCAGCATTTCGTAAGTGTTTTACATACTTTTACAACTCAAGACAAATCACAAATCAAGGCAAATACACCATCACAAATGTCTTGAATGAGTGTGTACTATATCATACTGGATAAAATGCTTTATAGGTTGTAATTAAATATGGGTTTTTAGGGGGGAGGGGGGGTTGCACAAACAGTCATTATAATAAATTAATTCATGTAATAACATTTTCATTCCCACGTTCAGATCAACAGCTTCTTTATATAATCAGCTCCTCATCTTAATGGGTGCTCAATCTAAAAATGCTCTAAATCTACTACAAATTATTAGAACTACAATGCACTGTTGCTTTTTAGTGTTGATTTGTGTGTATTGTATGTAGGTTGTGTTGATAAATATAGTTATTTTAGTGTATTATATAGCATTTCATTTTGTTATTGTAATATTATTATTTATATACTACTGTATTATTTATCGATATTTTGAATTAGGTTTTTTATAATTTTCAGTTTTAATTTTAGTAATTTTATCTACTTTTGCTTTTTTTAATTCGTTTTTTATATTTCTATTTAGTTTTAATTTATTATTAGTTTTAGTAATTTTAGTACTTCAGCTTATTTTATTTTTTGATATTTATTTTTATTTCAGCTTAATAAAAAAAGAATAGTTTTAGGTAACAACCATTTTAATTAACAAAAAGGTTAATAAATAAATAAATAAATATATGATTTCATTACATAATTTGTAATAGATTTAAAGCAATTTATGTGGTATTATTTTGCTTTAACGTATATGTCAAAAGTAATGTTCTCCTTAAATTGATTTGGTCTCTCTTTCCAAAGAGATTTAACACTTAAGATATCGGTGGGTGTATTTTGGATAGGTTGGATATGGACTCGAGAATCACAGAGCCAGATCCAAGATGTGAAGAACAAGTACGACAGCGACATGGCAGCCATTACCAGAGACCTGGAGCTGAAGTACAGGCAGACGCTGACGGAAAACCGGCGGACAGCAGCGCACCTGGAGGTGGAGCTTGAGAAGGAACGACAGCGCGTTCAGGGCTACAAGAAAGCCCTGATCTCTCAGAGTCAGCAGCTTATGGAGGAACGGAAGCAGCTTCAGCAGGAACGCCAGGATCTGGAGGAGGAAAAGAACCGCCTGCAGCAGTCTGGAGTGGCCGGGGTGGCGCTGCGGAAAGCCCTGCAGCGAGAGGAGGACTGGCAGCGCAGGGCTCAGGCTCTGCTACAGGAACTGGAGGTGAAGCTGGTGGAGAGGCAGGAAGCTTTCTGCAGCATCCTGTTGCCACGGGAACATCGTCTGGAGATGGAGAAGAATCTGCTGTTGAAGGTGGCTAAAGACCCGGTGGGTGCCGAGCTGAACCTAGAAGAAGGTCTCAGGGACATTTTTAAGAAAGACAGACACTGTGCAGATTTACTGAACATGGATAAGCGAAAGAATGGGAATTTGATGTGGCTGTATCTCAGGTACTGGCAGCTCCAGGTCACCCTGCAGAAACACAAGAGGGCAGAAGAGACGCTAAAAGGGGCATCGCCAAACTCCAGCAGACCTTGACGAGTGTAGATCTCTATATAAAACAAGAAGAATTTTCTTCCTTAAATGTTTTCCTTTGCTTATCCAAGGTATCCCCATGATTTATTTATCAACTATTTATGATGCCAAACTTCTTTGTGAAACCACTTGAGCCTCGAGTCTTTGACAATCACGTCAGAACATGAAAGTGTATATTTTCTTTGGCAGATTTTTTGTGCTTCTCAGCTCTATTTTTCTTTTCTTTCACTTTAATCGATCATGTAGAAAGCAGAAGAAACGGATGATTTCATATTTGTTGCATTACTGATGAACTTTATTAGGCAAATTATTCATTTAACTAATATGTACCACAAACATAAAAATGATGTTACTGACATGTGTAATAAATGTTTTCTGACAAGAAAGAATATATTACAGTTTGATCGACTAAGGTTTGTTTTTTTATTGTTTGCCATGATTTCATAAATACATATAAATGAGATATACAGTCAAGAAAGTGTTTATTTAAAACATTTATTTCCAAGAACTAGCTGTTTTTAACAGATGATGATTGTCCTGCAGTTTATTGTAAACCTGATGAGAAATCGATCAACAGCTCCTTTATAATCAAATATAGATTACAATTAAAAATTACATTTCTTTTAGAATATTCAGGTTTAAGACCATTACTAAATATTTCCTATTTTATTTTGTTTTGCAAGAATTTGGACACTTAAGGCACATTTAGAAAATGAATAATGTTATTGTGTTAACACACCAAGTGGCATTTATTGTAAATAAATACTTGAAGCACAGCATTTTCCTTTGATAAGGTTTCGCTGGTAGTCTCAGCTGAAAACTAATTGTGAGCATATGGGGCTCTTGAAGGCTTTGGTATTTAAGTATGAGTGAGGTCACCCACCATACTTGTCACTGTATCCGTGTCAATGATGGCAGACAGCTTTCATCAGCTCATCATTCTCTTCGCTGGAAGCTGAGTGTGTCTCGTGGTGGAGAGATGAGGCTGGACGCTCTGAAGTTTGGACTCCTGGGTTGGATTACCATTGGCTTATGTTCGGTGATGGACGAGACCTCTCTCTTCTGAAGGTAAACTCCATTTAAACTAGTCTCAGAGTCCATGGTGGATTTTGTTCTGGAGGGAGAGGGCTCACGGATAATGTCAGGCTGTGTGACATCTCTGGGCACAAATATTGGTATTGGAAGAGTGTTTCTGTAAGGTAAACAATATTCCTGCAGTGGCTCCCCATCTCTCCCCATGTGAATTGTTTGGTTTAGGAAACGTCTCACTGAGAAATGAACCACTTGCTTGCTTTCATAGCTCTCCTTTCTCATTGAGTCCTTTTCAACAAGTGTCATCCTGTGAAGCAGGACTTGTAAAAGTTAGTAAAAAAGTAAATTACATAAATAAATGAATGCTTTTATTCAGTAAGGATGCATATAATTGTTTAAAAGTGACAG